GAACTGCTTTAGACTTTGCTTACAAATTTGAAATTATTAGGTACGCCAATGTCACCGAAATGAATGCACTGACATGGTCACAAAAAAACAACAGCTGTAGACGGAAGCTAGTCCATGTCCCTGCTTTTCAAATCTATTATACTTTTTCAGATACACGTATTTTATCATACACTGTGCCTGCTTTTAAAGCGTGTATTAATGTTTCAGTTTCAAGTCACGTTTCCAAACAGTCGCTGAACAGGCCCCACTGCATGTAACTAGTTCACAGAACTGGGGGGGTGTTGGGGAAAATGAGGGGGGGGGGGGGGGACCCCCCCCCCCCCGCCCCCCCCCCCCGGGCCCCCCCCCCCCCCCCTCCCCCTCCCCGCGCGCCCCCCCCCCCCGCGGGGGGCACCCCCCCCCCCCCCCACCCAACCTCTTCCTTCCTTCGTGAGAGTCGTGCTCTGCTACATTATCTGCTCTTCTCAACCAAAGGCAACACCCATCCCAGCCACACTCAGCCTTACTGCACAGACGGGGGTCACGTGGAGCCCCGGGGGGGCACGGGGGGGGGGCACGGAGAAGGCAGAAGGGGGCCCCGCCTCCCCCCTTGTGGAGGGAAGAGCATCGGGGGCGCCTCGGCGGGCCCTCCCCTCCCCCCCCCTCCCCCCCCCCGGCCGGACCCCCCCCCCCCCCCCCCCCCCCCCCCCCCTCTCCCTCTCCCCACAACTCACCCCCCCCCCCCCCGGGGGGGGGGGGGGAGAGAGGGGGGGGGGACCCCCCCCCCAAAACAGGCCCCCAGGAGAAAGGGGGGCTAAAACAAGGCCCCCCTTTCCTGAGGTCAGAGGGCTTGGCTCTGAAACCTTGGCTATTGGTCCTCAGCCTGTGCACGGCTGGCAGCTCTGCAAAGCGGCTGGGCTATGCACAAACATACCCAGGTCTATGAATGCACACAGGGCTGGGTCCTCAGTCCAGGCCCCAAGTGCCCCCAATAAAGGGAGATATGTCATTACTGTCCTGGAACTGTCACACTGCAATGGCCCTTGCAGCCACACAGCAGCCAGCATGGCTGTATGGCACTAACAGTGGCTAGCCCAACTGGCAGGTCACTCAGCACATCGAGAATAAGGGCACGAAGGGCACTGCAGACAGGGCAGGCTTCTCCGACCTGCTACTGGTCCCCAATGTTCAGCTTTGGTTCCTTACCGGCACTTTCTGCAAGCCTCTTGCAGAGACCAGGTGACTAATACCTCACCTGCTCCCAACTGCATGTGCTATTGCCAGCCTCTATTCTCCAATCAGGCATAGAATGTATGGGGATAGATAGATAGATAGATAGATAGATAGATAGATAGATAGATAGAAAGATAGAAAAGAAGAGCTGGTCAGAGGATGACAATGTCCGTTTTGTGAAACTTTGGAGATTTCACCTTGGAGCAAAACTAAACCCTTTTGTGTGTTATCACAAAACGGTATTGTGTAAAAACATATATTTTTGGATCAAAAAGGTCGAGTTTCTGATTTGGGCTCCTCTCTCTCTGGAACTGACTCCCCCCTTGATCTCAGAGACCTTCCTGTCAACTTGACCAAAATCCATACGTCTGCATGAAATGTGTTGGCTTCAGTGAAACAGAAGATTTCTGTGAAAAGACATTTAATCAAAAATGTCCCACCAGCTCCCATAGGCGGAGACAACCAGGCCGTAGGCAGCAGGACTAACCCAGCATGCCCGCAAATACATCAACAGGAAACAGAGGAAGGGCCCCAGTCACAACACTGTCAGAAATAGCTTTGAGTGACAGGTTCTCACTCACACAGATTCCCTTCCCTGGGCTGCAGCACTGCAGAGCAAACACCATCTGCTCTCCCCCACTCTGTCCAAAGGCCCCGCCTGCTGTCCCCCCCAACCCATGCCAAGGCCCTGCCTGCTCCCCTCCCCCCATGCCTAGGGCATACCTGCTTCCCCCCTTCCCTTCCCCGGTGCCTAGGGCACACCTGCTCACCTACCATACCCTGGGGGATGGGATGGCTAAGGGGGATCTCGGAGCGTAACAAAAAAGCACTGGTGAATCTCTGGACACAGCACTAGCAAGCGTTCTGTGAAGACCAGGCCAGAGGCCCAAGAGATGGCCGGTGATGGAACAGAACTTGGCCAGCTCTCTAACGTCCATGCCATGTGTCTGGGATCACCCCAATCCCTGTTCAGGAATATGGGCCTTGTATAAATAGCCCCTCAGCACCCCTGTCCTGCTGAGACAGAGCAATGCTGAGAAGGGTGGCTCCTGCCTCTGCAAAGCCAAACTTTCCACCAGCCAGCTGAGCAGTTTCTATTCAGCCAGCAGTTGAACGGATGCAGCCGCCAACAGAGGCAGGGTGTTAGCTGCTAGCCTTATCTGATGGCAGGATCGATGGTCACCCAGCTCAGGCTTTCCAGATGCTGCAGGTGGCCTGCCACAATCCCTTGCTGGCGATGCTGGCCTGTGCAGGACTGCAGCTCCAGGGGGCTCAGGCTACGCCACAGCGGACAGGCCAGTGAGGGAGATGGAGGAAGGAGGGCTCTGGTTAGACTGAGCTCTGAGCCCTTACAGAGAGTTCTGCTTCTGCTGTGTCCAAAGTGGAAACAAGCCAGCGATAAGGAGAAGTTGCGCCTCTGCCCCAGTAGCACAGTTCAGACTTCCACATGGCAGGCCTCCTTCAGCTTCTCACCCGTAGCTGCAACTCCCCCGTCCTGCTTGCTGGGCCTGGGTGTGGGCCAGGGAGACCCGGGGCTGCAGTGCAGGGAGCTGGGCACTTGAGCAATCCTGACTGGGCACAGAGCCTTTCTCCACCTTGCTAGCAGCCATAGGAGGGGCAGACGGATATTGTGAGACTGGCCGGAAGCTCAGCCTTTGCCCCCCCAGCAACAGATAGCCTCTCCCTTCAGTTCACCTAGCCCTGCGGCTGGGGTTGGGTAACAGGGCAGCAGTGGTGCAATCCCCAGGCTGTACAGGGCTCTTGCAATGGGCTGCACTTGAGCAGAGCAGGCTGGACTGTGTGAAAGCAGCTCTGGAGCTGAGGTGGGGGCGCTAGGGGACTCCTGTGCCTTGGGGGTGAAGGAGAAAGCAGGCCCAGCCATGCTCCAGCAGCAACCCCTCCTCTGCCATGAGGGGCAGAGGCGACACCAGCTAGCTCATCCCCTGCTTCCCGTGGAGCCCACACAATGCAAGGGCTCCATCAATAGCATGTAGCTGCTCTGTCAGCACCATCATACCCAAGGCTGCAGCCCTAGGGATCTGGCCAGCTCATTCCTCCAGCAGCCGTGGCCAGTCAGCATCCAGCGAGGGGGAGGCCAACTGTGCTCGTGTTTGCAGGGGGCTCAGCTTGGAGTAGTGTGTCATGCACCGCGCAACAGTAGCAAGCGCCTCGGCCCCAGGCTGAGCAGCGAGGCTGCGTCTCTCTCCCATGCCAAGGCGGCAGGAGCCCATGGTGCACCAAGCTGGCAGGGGCCCAGGCCTGGCAGCAAGCCCTGGCCCAGGGCACTCCCCACAGCTCTCCTGCAGAGCACTGTGCTCAGTGGGACCCCGGCATGGGCTGGAGCTGTCCCTGTGGCTTCTCTCTGTGGGGAAAGATGCCACCTGGGCTCCCTGGGCCGGCCGGATGGGCGGTTGAGTCACGCCTGTCAGGAGAGCAAGACTCCAAGCCAGGCCTTCCCAAGCTACAGCCTGGGAGAGACCCACTGGTGAGTCTAGGGCTTCAGCATAAACAATGGTTCCACTTCCACCTGTAACTGGCGCTCCCAGCACTGCGTCCCCTCCGGCTCCCTCCTGCTGCCTTGGGCTCCCGGGATCCCCTTCAGCAGCTCTCAGACTTCTTCGCCCCACCAGCTCTGATCGAGGGCCCTTCTAGCCCCGTAACTCTCCCCTCCCCTCACACACCAGACCACGGCCCTGCTGAGTCCAGTATCCTCACCCCACAGCAGCTTACACTGGAGGCTTCAGAGATCGACTGCCAACCACAGGGCAAGAAACGGGCTGAGAAGGAGAGAGAAGGGCCAGGGCAAAGGGGCAGGCCATGGGCAGAGTGGGAGGCAGGGGCAGATCGGCAGATCCAGTGTCGGGGACAGAGCAGTGACAGATGGAGGGGCAGGGTCCTGTGTATATGAGAGGAAAAGCAGGGGCCGGGGCATTGCCGGGGCGGGGGTGGGTGGGGAGGGGTGGAAGAGAGGGGCTGGAACAATGACAGGAGCTGATGGATGAGAGGGGAAGGGTAGGGGCAGTGCCCGGGGGGGGACTCAAAGTGCAGTGGCAGGGGGCAGTGCTGAGGGAAGGAGGGGGCAGGGGCAATGTGAAGAGGGTAGAGGTGGAGACAGGGGCTGGTGGATGGGAGAGAGGGGACAGGTGTAGCAAAGAGAGGGGAGTGGAAGCACAGGGACAGGTGATGGTGCACAGGGAGGGAGGGGGCAGCCGCAGTGCCAGAGGAAGGAAGGAAGGAAAGGAGCAGTGCTCGGGAGGGGAGGGGAGTGGAAGGGCAGAGGGCAGGGGCAATGTGGGGAGGGTGGGGGCAAGGGCAGAGGCTAGTGGATGGGAGAGGAAGGACAGGGGCAGGGGACAGTGCCAGGGAGGGAGGGGCCAGTGCTGGGGGGAGGGAAGGTCAGGAGCAATGCCGGGGGGCATGCCCAGGAAGGGTGGGGGAGGGGCAATGCAGGGGATTGTGCCCAGGGAGGGAGGGGGCAGGGGCAATACAGGGGTGGGGTGGGGGGCAGTACCCAGAAAGGGAGAGGGAGGGGAAATGCAGGGGGGGGCAGGGGGCAGTGGTAAGGGAGGGAGGGAGGCAGGACAATGCAGGGGGGGGCAGGGGTAGTGGCCAGGGAGGGAGGGGGCGGGGGTGATGGGGGGCAGGGGGCAGTGCCAGGGCAGGGGGCAAGGGCAGTGCGGGGTGGGGGCAGGGGTACAGGAGCCGGTGGATGGCGAGGAAGTGCCGGCGAGGGGAGGGGCCGGCCGGCCGGCCGGGGGAGGGCGCTTAGTCGCGTCCCGCTGTCGAGCCCCAGCCGCAGTTCTTCTGAGCCCGGGGAGCGGCTCAGAGACCTGTGCCCGAGGAGCGGCCCGGGCTGGCGGCCGCGCTGGCTACAGCGGACGGCGCTGCAGGGCGAGAGGTGAGGGGCTCAGGGGACTGGACGGGGCGCAGGGCACCGCCCGCGGCAGCGGCTCTGCCAGGCAGGGCCGGCCGCGCGGAGGGGTCCGCGGGGCCGGGCCGACTCGGCTCCCCTTTGGGGCTCGGCTTTGACAGCGCGAACGGGGCGGCTATCCTCGGACTCGACATCGCTCGGCTCCAGAGTTAATGGCCGGGAGCGGTGACTGGCGCGGATCGCTTCCCCGCTTGGGTTTCCGTGGGCTCGGATTGCCGGGCCAGGGGCGGGGGGTTCTGTTCTCCGGTCTGCAGGAAACCTTCTCTTTCAGTTGGACAGTTGGCAGAGGCAGTCAGCTTCCAGTGCACTCTCCTCTCTCCTCCCCACCGCCAATTCACCCTGGTACCAGGGATCTGAGAACCCACCCCAGTCTATGCACCCTAGCACTTGGTACTAGGGGGCCTGAGAACCCCCCACCACTCAATGCCCCCTAGTGCCTGGTACAGGGGGCTGAGAATCCCCCCTGCCAACCAATGCCCCCTGGCACCTGGTACTGGGTGGCTGAGAAACCCCCCGCTCTGCCAGCCAGTGCCCTCTGGTGCCTGGTATGGCAGGGAGGGGGCTTCCTACAGGTAAATATTTCTTTTCTGGTCCCCATGGCTGCTTGGCCGGATCGCCCTGCTCAGTCTCTGCCTAGTTGTTGTTTGGGGCCCTCCTCCGCTGACAGAGGAGAGAGCGGTTGTTTTGTTAGGAAGGTGCGATTATAAAGCCACAGGCAGGCCTGGGACCCTGCTTTGCTACTGCCCCACCTCAGCAGACTAGGTTTCCTTTTCCATACTGCAGAAGTGGGCCTGCCAGCGGAGGTCCAGATGGTTGAGTGTCTGCACAGCCTGGGTCGTGGCAAATGTTCCCACTGATGTAAAGGCCTGCTCTAGCCTGGGCACTTTTCCAAAACTGAATGGCATTAAAAACATTCATGGCATTTAGTGTAGGTCCTACACGTAAACAGCTGTGCTTCCTGCTTGTGACAGGGAGAGCTTTCCAGGTTAATTGGCATACCAGGTTTTTTAGCTAATTGGTTCTGGACAGATTAATGTATCCTCTGTTCTCACCACAACTGCACACACACAAACACATCTGCACCAAGCTGCTGCGGACACCAACAGACTCTCACAGCCTCACACATCACATGATCGCAGACACACCAGTGCACACTTGTGCACAGAGGCGCACCTACCCATTCCCAGCGCCGCACATTCCCAGTGCATGGACGACAGGGCTCCGGGGAGGCGGGAGGGGGCTGCGTGGGAGAATGTGAGCGGCAGGAAGGAAGGAAGTCTGCCCTGAACAATAGGGGGAAATGGAGGAACTGGAAACCCTGCTGGTGGCTGTGGAGTCAGCGCAGCTGGCTTGATACAGAGCAGTATGATTCATGGGAAAAGGACCTCACAGCAACCTCATCGTGCTGCAGACAGGGCTCCTGAGCTTTGTCCTGGGACCTTGGATGGAGGGAGCTCTGCTGGCAGCCCTGAGCTGGGGGCGGAGGAGAGCTGGTGTTATTATGGTTTGTGTTATGGAAGCCCCAAGCAGGATCAGGGCCCCGTCATGCTGGGTGCTGCACAGACACGCAGGCCCCAGTCCTGCAGAGTCCCAAGGTATCTGAGAGAGGCCCTTATCCGAAGGGAGAGGGGCTGCCCCTCCAAGCTGCGTGGGCAATCTCCCCAGGCAGTGTGGGGAGCACAGCTGGGAGCCTGTCTGCCTGGAATGCGTGTGGCTGGGGGCTGTGTCCCAGATGCTGTCTCCCTGGGCTTGCCTATGAGTCATGCTGACCTCTCCCATGCCCTCCCTACCGTCAGGGAGATTCTGATGCTATCCTTCCAGTAGCAGAGCAGAGCCCTCCCCAAGCCAGCCAGCATCAGAGAACCGTCCCTGGGGGGGGCAGCTGCACCATGGGTATCTGCGTTCCCTGGTCCCCCTGCTCAAGGGATGGGCTGAGATTCTGGATACAGCAAATGGCCCGATATCCTCCCTACCAGCAAAGCACAAATCCCAGCCGGAGTCAGGCACTGGCTCCTCTGTCTGACTTGCCTGAGGAGGGGCTAGCAGGGATGGAGTCAGTGATGCCCATTGACAGGGCTTGCTTTTGTCTGGCCAGGGACAACCCCATGTCTGATCGAGTCAGCTCTGTCTCGGGAGCTGGAGGCCTGTGTTTGTGTGAGACCCTCACAGCCTGCGAGGGAGGGACGGTTCCTGCCTAGGCTGGGGTCATGACCTCTCAGATGAAAGGGGGGTCAGGGTTTGAAGGCTTGGGGCAGGGTTTGGCAATTGATGCTCCGACCCTTGCTCAGAGCACTCACACCCTCTGGCAGCGAGTGACTGACTGCCCATGTGAGTGACTGACTGCCCATGGCAGGTTCTAACAGAGCTGGGAGCAGAGCAGTCAGAGCTCAGAGGGGTGTCCTAGCAAAGCGCTGGAGTGGGCATGGATCCTACAGGCTCTTCCAAGCACTGGGCCTTCTGGCTATTCTGTGGCACTGCCATCTCCTCCTGTCTCCTCAGGCAACCTCTCTCTTCTCTTTCCTCAGATGATGGCTTGACAGTCCCCTGGTGGGGGTCCGCAGGCCATGTTCTCCCCGTGCGACGCCGACTGTGACATTGCTGATTGGCTGGCCACCATCCATTTGGAGAGATACCAGGAAACCTTTAAGCAGCATGGGTACCAAGTGACCAGAGATGCTGTCTCCCTGGGTAACGAGGACCTGCAGCGGATCGGCATCACTGCCACTGGGCACCGCAAAAGGATCCTGAGTCTGGTGCAGCAGACGCAGCTGTTGGTGCAAGACAAAGGCAGGCCCATGGCAGGAGATGCCTGTGCCAAGCCTGGCACATGTACAGAGCCCCTGGAAGTGCCCAGAGTGTGCCAAGCAGGCAAGGAGAACAATGGTACAAGTACTGCTAATGGAGCCCCAGTAGCAGCCATTGATGGGCTTGGGAACCACCAGTGCTCAGCTGGCCCCAGCCAAAACCCATCTCTGGAGAGGGAGCCTGCTCCACCCGTTGCCAAGCCGGTACCCAAGCCCAGGACGTTCTTCCAACGCCCTAGCCGAGCAGTGAGGCCAGAGCAGGGCCTGGTGCCCACACCGCTGGCACGGACATCGGTGCCAACACGCAAACCTGGCTGTGAGGGGCCTTCTGCTGCTTTCATTGTACACGAGGGGTTTGTGCCAGGGGAAAGCTCCATGGATCTTGGGCGCTCGGAGTTCACCCTGGAGCAGCAGGCCGGCTCAGGAGAGAGAGGCTTAGCAGGCCCTCAGGCCCCCCAGCCTGTGGGTAGGGAGAGTGCTCTGGAGCCTATGCCAGCACCACGGGCTGGGGTGGCTGAAGTGGGTTTGGATGATGTGGAGATCCAGGCTGGGTGTGGAAAATCCTCCCCTTCCATCCCCGGTGTCTCTCCATGCCTCGGCCATGGGATCCAGCCAGCTGATTGCAGCCCCGCAAGCCCAGGGATGAGCCACTCGCTGTGCAGCTTCCCACGGTCTGCTCCAACCAGCCCTGCTGCCAGCGCGCAAAGAGAGCCTTCGCCAGCCCCAGGCGCCCCCTCCCAGCCAGCCTCTGCATGGGGCAGGATGGAGATGGTTTCGAATATCATTTATGAGGGACTAGAGCCCCCTTCACAACCAGCTGGGTGTTCAGGGGATGAGGAGCCTGCGAGGAATCGACCTACCCCACGGCCACTGGACTCAGCCGCGCAGCAAGGGACCACACCAGCAGAGAAGCCTGAGTAAGTGTGAGCCTGCTCCTAGCACCACGGTCTGCCCTCTACCTGGAAGCAGGAAAAGGGGCAGAGCTCAGGCCGGGCAGGGCAGGCCGAACTCCTGCTGTGCGCCTCATGTTTCCTGTAGACATTGCTTAGGTCTCCTCTTAGAGCCTTGTCCAGCAGTGCAACCATCTGGCCTAAATGACAGCCCCAGGCCCCGTTTCACTGCAGCTCCCAACCCTCTGGAAGGGGGTGGAGGGTGTGCATGGACCCTAACAAAGCCCCTTTCACAGCACTCCTCTGTGCTGAGGTCAGAAATGAGGAGAGCCCTGCGGCAAGGCGCACAGCATGGATGAGCCAGGCCAGGATCTCTCACGCCTTGGGGGACAGGCTAGTGCTGGGCCCTGAGCGCAGGTTACGCCCTGAGGAAGGGATCTGCTGGGTCTTGCGGGCCTCTAGGCAGAAGGGGACTTGCTGAGGTTACTTTGGGGCTGGCTCAGGAGCAGTGGAGGTTCCTGTGGCTAGTGGGCAGCATTGCTGTTGTTCCAGGATCCAGTTACTAGAGGTTAAAAGAGGAAGGAACTGTGCCTGCAGGTCACAGCTCAGGGACCCACCTGGGGAGGGCTCAGGGCCCTGACTGGGTCATAGCGCAGGGGGCTGGGCCAGGCAGGGGAGGGCTCAGGGTCCAGTGGCCAAGTCAATGCACAGGGGGCTGGGGAGGGCTCAGGGTCATGTGGCCAGGTGACAGTGCAGGGGGCCAAGCTGGGGAGGGATCCGGGCCCATGGCCGGGTCACAGCACAGGGGACTGGGGAAGACTCAGGGCCCGTGGCCTTGTCACAGTGCAGGGGCCAGGCTGGGGAGGGCTCAGGGCCCAGTGACTGGGTCACAGTGCAAGGGGCCGGACCAGGTTGGGGAGGGCTCAGGGTCCCATGGTCAGGTCATAGTGCAGGGGCTGTGGCGGGATGGGGAGGGCTGGGTCATCTCTAGAGCCCTACCAAATTCATGACCATGAAAAACACATCACAGCCCATGAAATTTGGTCTCTCCCCATGAAATCTGGTCTTGTGTGTGCTTTTACCCTATACTATTCTGATTTCGGGGGGAGACTAGCGTTTCTCAAATTGGGGGTCCTGACCCAAAAGGGAGTTACGGGGGAGGAGGGGGTCACAAGGTTATTTTACAGGGGTTGCAGTATTGCCACCCTTACTTCTGCACTGCTGCCTTCAGAGCTGGTCTGCTGGAAAGTGGCGGCTGCTGACTGAGGGCCACGTCTGCAGGCAGCAGCGCAGAAGTAAGGGTGGCAATACCATACCATGCCATCCTTACTTCAGCGCTGCTGCTGGCGGCGGTGCTGCCTTCAAAGCTGGGCTCCCAGCCAGCAGCCACCGCTCTCCAGCTGCCCAGCTCTGGAGGCAGCACCGCCGCCAGCCGCAGCGCAGAAGTGAGGGTAGCAGTACCACAACCCTCACTGCCTAAAATAACCTTGCAACACCCCCACAACTCCTTTTTGGGTCAGGAGCCCTACAATTACAACACTGTGAAATTTCAGATTTAAATGGCTGAAATCAACGATTTAAAAAATCCTATGACTGTGAATTTGACCAAAATGGACCGTGAATTTGGTAGGGCTCTAGTCATCTCCCTCAGTCCTTGCTCCATGCCCGGTCCCCTCCTCGCTCACCTGGGGACACAGGCTCTGCCTCCCGGGTGTGTTCCCCTGCCCACGCTAGCTGAGATGGAGCTTGCTCCCTGGGAATAGCAGTGTAGCTGTGGTGGAATAGTGGGCCAGCTGTCTGGGTCCAGTACTGCCCAGCACCCTGCATGCATACTCTGGTGGCTCACCCATGCTGCTGCCCGGGTTGCCATGGCCACACTGCAGTTGTCTAGCTAGATCACAGCTAGTTGGGGAATGCCTTCACCTACAGTCCGATGCAGCATGCACGTGCCCTCCTGGCAGCTGGCACACTGCCTGGGGCTTAGGAGGAGCCCAGGGCTCGTCTGCAGGGAGCCTGCCTGTGCCTTACTGTGCCGTGGAGAGTGGGCAGTGCTGGGCTGGGTAGAGTGGGGTGAGGTGGGGCAGGCAGCACTAGGCTGCTGCATCAGAAGGCCTGGCTGATGATTTAGAGCTGGTGGCCAACAGCTGGGTGGCTGGGGCAGGCCCACCAGGGGAGGGAATCTGAAGCATCAGTGCCAGGCCTCGGGTGTGGGCAGCAGTAATGGCCTGATCCCACTGGAGAGCTAGGAAAGTAAAGCTGGGGGCGGGGTGGGGGAGGGGGCTGTCTGGACAGGCCGAGGCCCTGCCCTCCAGACAACCCTCGTTGCAGTCTAGGATTGATGGGAAATCCGGGAGAAAGAAGCCTTCAAACCCAAGCCCCCGTTACAGGCTTCCCCGTGGCTGTGCCGGGGAGGGGAGCAGCTCCCCGCCAGTCTCAGGTTCCCCCGTGGCAGCACTGGGGAGGGGAGCACTCCTTCCAGTCGCAGGCTCCCCCGTGGTGGCACTGAGGAGGGGAGCAGCCCTGCTCCCATGGCAGGAACCAGGAAGCCCCTCCACCACCAGCCCGGCCTGTGCAATCAGAGGCTGGGGGAAGACAGCGGGTGCAAGCGCCAGCCCTTCTCCCAAGGGCCCTGCCGGCTGTGAGGCTGGAGCCCTCCCCTCACCCTGGGAGATTTCCCTGTAGACACTGAGTAGCACTCTGCACCAGGCTCCACAGCTCCCTCCCCCCAGCCCAGTACTGGGCCTTCCTCTGGCCCACGCTGCCTTGCTGCTCCCTGTCTGGGCAGCGCATCCCGGGCAGGGTTGCCCCAAGCGCAGACCCCACTCTAGAGGGTGCCAGGTGGTAACCCTGCTGCCAGAGGCTCTGACGTGTTTCCTCTGCTCTCCTAGCTCTCCCAGATGGCCCAGCCTGGACCTGCCCCCCATCCCACAGAGGCCAGGTGAGAGCTGGGGGCTGTGGCGCTCTACGTGCACAGCCTGTCCCCCTGAAGGCCCCCATGTCGCCTCCTCCCGGGGATGGGGGTGGTGCAGGGGCATGAATAGAGTTGTGGGGTTGGCCCTTTTGGGGGCATTAGTAGAGTAGGAGGGGATTGAGGCCCATACAGGGATGGTGGGGTGGGGCATTGATGGAGTGGGCAATAGGGGAATGGGGTAGGGAGGGGTTGGGAGCTCATATGGGGGCTGGGGCACTGCTAGGGCCGGGTGGGCGTTGAGGCCCATGGGGGGCATGGCTAGAATGCGAGGAGTTGAGGCCCATAGGGGTTTGATGGTGGGGCATTGCTAGAATGGGGGTTTGGTGCCCATACATGGATGGGGGTGAGGGCACTGCTAGAGCAAAGGGAAGTTGCTGGGGTCTGTGTCTTTCTATGGCTTTGGAAGCTGCCAGCCCCCCAGAACCCACCCAGTGGTGTCTGCTTCCATGGCGGCCTCTGTCCAGTCCGGAGGGTAACTCCTGGGTTCTCTGTCTAGCAAGGGGCTTGTCCCCAGACACATGCCTGGACCGCCCCGCTGGGAAGCGCTGAGGGTAGGCGGCGCTGCCCCCAGTGCTGGGCTGTGCTCCTGTGAGAGCTGCTGGCGTCTGGGACATCCGGGGGGTGAACGGCGTGCCCTGCGTCCCACGCCAGGCCCTCCTGCCTCCCACAGCAGTGCCCAAGTGCTGAGGGATAGAGTCACAAGGGGGGTTTCTCCTGCTTTTGCGGGGCCCCCACCCCATCCCCATCCTCCCTGGGCCCCCAGCCCCCCATCTCCAGCAGAGCTCTGACTGGCAGCTCACTGCCTTTCCTGCTGTGTCTGTGCCCGCAGAGCCTGCCGAGGACCCCATCAGTCCCTACTGTGAGGCCGTGTTTGGACGTGGGCTCCCTGCCTGGGAGCAGAAGGTGAGGGCCACCAAGGGTGCAGGCTGGAGGGCGGGGATGTTTGGGCCCAGCTCCTGCCTCGAGTCTGGATGAAATAGGAGTGAGGCCACGCTCCGGCTTCCGCTCCCTCTGGCTGCACCTCGCAGCAGTGTGTGCTGGACCACGGGCCTCGGCTGCTCAGCAGAGTGCAGGCCCTGGCAGAGCCAGGCGATGGGGTGGTGGTAGGCCCTGGCTCCTGGGCACTGGCTGATGCAGGGGAAGGCAGTCCACGGAGGCCTGAGGTTGAGGGGCGGGTGGCCTGGGCAGACAGAGCTATGGAGCAGAGCTCTCACCAGGGTCTTCTTTCAGAGCACAGGGACCCCCGCTGTGCCAGACTGTGAAGCGGTGCCAGAGCACTTCCCAGAGCTGGAGAGAGAGAGGCCCAGGTAAGCACCACTGCCCATAGCCCCTGGCCCCAAACCTGCTCCATGGAGCCTCTATGCTCTCAGGGGGCAGGCGAAGCAGGTTGGATGGTAGTTTCCAGGCTTTGGGGAGAGGTGTCTGCTGCTGGGGCAATAGAGGGCAAGGAAAGCCAGGGTCAGTCTGGTTTGACTGAGGGAGTTGCTCCTTCCGTGTGTGGGGAGAACCTGGCTGCATGGAGGAGCAGGTGGGGATGCCAGGGTGGGCGAGGCTGGAACTGGTGTTTGTTGTATGTCCCTTGCAGCTGGATGTGCTCCTTCTCTCACCATTAGCTGGGGTGAGACAGTCGTGCCATGCCATGCACCAGCAGCCCCTGGTATGTACAGGGCAGAGCAGTACTCCTGGCAAGGCATGGCACTGCAGCTCAGAGGTTAGCGGCACCACATGCTCACAGAGGATTCTGCAGGGAAGCTGTTCCCTGGCTAGCCAGATGCTCCAGGGGTTGGTTGGGTGTCACACGCGTTTTTCCTCTCAGCCATTGTTAGTGTCCTCAGCGCGCTCCTCCTGAGCTTCATGCTGGCTTGCAGGTGGCCTGTGCCAGGGTGATGGTAGCTGCAGGGGGCTGGAGCCGAATGTAGAGGCAGAAGCATCGATCGCGACCTCAGAGTAGGGTTGAAGTTTGCACTTGAAGTCCTGATTCAGGCTCTTATGTATAAAATGCAGAGGATTTAGTTTTTTCAAAATGACATCACTCACTCTCTGAGCACAGCATGGGCATGTCACGGATCCACAGGGTTGGGGCTACACTCCCAGCTGTGTAACAGTGTCTAGGAGGAACCCCTCAGTGTCCCAGACCCCTGGGGTCTCACTCTTCTCCCACGATCAGCCACGTGGCTTCACTGTCTCCTCAGACTGGACCTCTGGGGCTCCAGCCCCCCTGCTGCACCCCATGAGCTCTGCTCAGCGAGTCCAACTGAGACGACCCTAATGGAGACCAGTCCTCTCTGCAGAGATCAATGCACCTCGCCCAGCATTGGCAGTGACGCTCACCCAGCGCTGTCGACACAGTCGGGTTTTCTTGTTAACTGGCACACAGCACAGAAAGGCCTTAGGGTAGTACAGAGAAATGAAGGTTAACACATAGTCCATTCTGGTCAGCCTAGAGCCCAGCCAAGCTGTAGGGAACCCCTTGGTTCAAGCTTGGTCTGTCCCTTTGTCTGATCTCCTTCCTCAGATACCAGTTGAGAGCCCTGACTCCTTACAGCAGCCAGCTCTTATTCCCCATCTCTCCAGTCTTTTGATCCCAACTTGAGGGATTGTTGTGCATGTTACCTAAGGAGAGGCATGGAAATCCATCTCCCCTCTGGGTTGTTGGTTGCTAGGTGCCAACGTCCTAGTGATTGGATTTGCCACTGCCTTCTCAGATGCTCCCTTCATATGGAGACTAAAGCCCAGACAGTAGGTGACACCCACACCTGTATGTGTCAACCTGCCCTGAGAGCAAACAGTCCCCTTCCACTCATTTGGTAACAGTGCAGTACATAGGGGAAACTGAGGCACAAACAGGACTCATAAAAATATGCCCACTCGGTCACAGCACGTAAATCTGTTAATTAGTTTAGGAATAACAGTAACTCTGCAAACTACCATGTAGTAACTGCCCTGTGACACCATGCAAAATCTGCACAATTATGATTAGAACATTTCAATCTTTGGGACCCAGATCAGATTAAAATGATTCTCACAGACATTAGATTTTTTTTCATTTTTCTCCTTCATGGGTATCACTGTTGCTTGTTACCAGCTCTTATTTCCCCTCAGCTCTTCTGTCGGAGAATCACACCTTCATTTGTTAACTAGATCGAGGCAATGCTGCTTTCTGTAGAATTTACTTAGCCAACCGTATCTTCCCATTCAGAAATCCACTTCTCTCCCTAGGCCCATCAGAAAGTCTCAGGAGTTTAAATTAGCCCCTCCCGCACCAGGTAAATCCCAGCAGAATTTAAAGGTTCACTATCCAATACTTATTTTTAAATTAACTTTCCTTTACTTCTGGTAGCCCCTTAGCATGGCAAAAAAAAATGGCTTTTCCCATTGATTCATTTAGCAAACACCAGGTCATTGTCCTGCCCTGCTAACAGAACCTGGAAAAATCAGTCCCTGGAAAAACCATGGAGCAGGTCCTCAAGGAATCGATTCTGAAGCATTTAGAGGAGAGGAAAGTGATCAGGAACAGTCAGCATGGATTCACCAAGGGAAGGTCATGCCTGACTAATCTAATTGCCTTCTATGACTAGGTAACTGGCTCTGTGGATGAGGGGAAAGCAGTGGACGTGTTGTTCCTTGACTTTAGCAAAGCTTTTGACACGGTCTCCCACAGTATTCTTGCCAGCAAGTTAAAGAAGTATGGGCTGGATGAATGGACTATAATAAGGTGGATAGAAAGCTGGCTAGATTGTCGGGCTCAGAGGGTAGTGATCAATGGCTCCACGTCTAGTAGGCAGCCGGTATCAAGTAGAGTGCCCCAAGGGTCGGTCCTTGGGCTGATTTTGTTCAATATCTTCATAAATGATCTGGACGATGGTGTGGATTGCACCCTCAGCAAGTTTGCAGATGACACTAAACTGGGAGGAGAGGTAGATATGCTGGAGGGTAGGGATAGGATACAGAGGGCCCTAGACAAATTAGAGGATTGGGCCAAAAGAAATCTGATGAGCTTCAACTAGGACAAGTGCAGAGTCCTGCACTTAGGACGGAAGAATCCCATGCACCGCTACAGACTAGGGACCGAATGGCTAGGCAGCAGTTCTGCAGAAAAGGACCTAGGGGTTACAGTGGACGAGAAGCTGGATATGAGTCAACAGTGTGCCATTGTTGCCAAGAAGGCCAATGGCATTTTGGGATGTATAAGTAGGGGCATTGCCAGCAGATCGAGGGACGTGATCGTTCCCCTCTATTTGACATTGGTGAGGCCTCATCTGGAGTACTGTGTCCAGTTTTGGGCCCCCACGCTACAAGAAGGATGTGGAAAAATTGGAAAGAGTCCAGCGGAGGGCAACAAAAATGATTAGGGGACTGGAACACATGACTTATGAGGAGAGGCTGACGGAACTGGGATTGTTTAGTCTGTGGAAGAGAAGAATGAGGGGGGATTTGATAGCTGCTTTCAACTACCTGAAAGGGGGTTCCAAAGAGGATGGATCTAGACTGTTCTCAGTGGTAGCAGATGACAGAACGAGGAGTAATGGTCTCAAGTTGCAGTGGGGGAGGTTTAGATTGGATATTAGGACACACTATTTCACTAGGAGGGTGGTGAAGCACTGGAATGGGTTACCTAGGGAGGTGGTAGAATCTCCTTCCTTAGGTATTTTTAAGGTCAGGCTTGACAAAGCCCTGGCTGGGATGATTTAGTTGGGGATTGGTCCTGCTTTGAGCAGGGGGTTGGACTAGATGACCTCCTGAGGTCCCTTCCAACCCTGATATTCTATGATTCTATGAAGCCAAGTCACTGCTTTTTACCTAAATCTCTGCAGTGATACACCCAAGACCCAGACACCTGGAAAGTGGTGAATGTTCATTTCCGGCTTAAAACTTTGTGGCCCAGGCCAGTCCAAGATCTGTGCCGCACTTTGGCTTCATTTACGTCCTCTTCGTGCTGGTCTCTGCACAGGGGTGAATTTCTCCCTCTCTGAGCTAGTGCTGTGAGGGAAGCCCCCGTGAATAGGTTCAGTATTTGGAGCAGAGTTATTTCGATACTCCTTGATGTTGAGCGGCATAGGGAGACTCAGTGTCTAGTATTGACTCTGTCCGTGTCCTTGAAGCTGGGTGATTATATTTTAAAATATATAGAGAGGAATGTGCTAGGTACATGTGGGATCAAAGAGACTTGGTGACATAAACAATAATCAAAAGAACAAAGATGAGATGATTTGTCATGGCCTCCAATCATCAGAGCGGTCTTGTCTTATGTTCTTTACATGGAGGAGATGATTATGTACATGGCCACAAATATGTGTGTGGTAATGAACCAGCTAGTACTGGATGGTGTCAAAGGCTGCATGTCATCAGCTCCCTATAGCCAGCCATTAACCAATGAAAGCTATCCTACAGCTCAAGAATTAGGGGCCTGTGCCTTTGGAACAGAAGAATCTAAGTTGAAGATCTGCTGCCCTCATTTAGTGCCAGGTACACACAGTGTGTAACAGTGAGAACCCCTGAGTCCTAGGGAGTTACTACTGCATGAGTATGGTTTAGCTGATCAATGGGTGCCAGGGTCTCATAAGCAGATTAACAGGTTTCAGAGTAGCAGCTGTGTTAGTCTGTATCCGCAAAAAGAAAAGGAGTACTTGTGGCACCTTAGAGACTAATAAATTTATTTGAGCATAAGCTTTTGTGAGCTACAGCTCACTTCATTGGATGCTTGTGCTCAAATAAATTTGTTAGTCTCTCAGGTGCCACAAGTACTCCTTTTCTTTTTGAGAATACAGACTAACATGGCTGCTACTCTGAAAACTGGTCAGATTTAGCAGATGATCTACCCCACCCCCACCCCCCCACAGACTTTACTTGAGGTGGATGGAGGTTGGAGGGTGTCATGTTCTTCTCTACCAGATCTGGAGTGGCTACAGAGCTTACTTGTACACACCAGCTGGGTTCATCATAAGATCCTGTAATGCTTTCCCAGATCTGACTAAGGTTAGTTTAAATACAAAAAGAATTTTTTCTTGTGGGGGAGGAGGGGTAGGAAAAAACAAGGGGAAATAGGCTACCTTGCATAATGACTTAGCCACTCCCAGTCTCTATTTAAGCCTAAATTAATAGTATCCAATTTGCAAATGAATTCCAATTCAGCAGTTGGAGAAATTCCAATTCCAATTCTCTCTGGAGAAACTGCTGAATTGGAATTCATTTGCAAATCGGATACTATTTATTTAGGCTTCAATAGAGACTGGGAGTGGCTAAGTCATTATGCAAGGTAGCCTATTTCCCCTTGTTTTTTCCTACCTCTCGCCCCCCCCCCCCCCAC